GAGGACAGCATTTTTGGGGGTGGGTCCCAAGTGATTGGCATTTCACAGAGAGACATTTTTTTCTGAGGGTGCCAAATCCACAGAACAATCGCACTGCCAAGAGTGCAACCACAGTCCAACTCTGCCACCATCGTTAAATATGTTTTAGGATTTGAATTTGCCAGCAGCTGTGCATTTCTGCAGACATCTGTAGTGACCTGGATAGAAAAGTAAATTTCAAAGCGGTTTGGCATTTCAATCCTGCAACTATCCAGGGGTCCTGGTTCAGTTGCAACTTCCGTTGCGATGTCTTTGGGCAACTTCCACAGTGTATATCTGGGTGTGCCTCAGGAAAACCACTGAAGAGAATGAAGGAAGTGGGGGTGTTGAGAAACAGAACAACCCAAAGCAAAATGTCAATAGTGGCTAGCCTTATTAAATTGCCCCTAAAATACAAAGCAGTGATCTCAACAACTTCCATCCATTTTGGGCTGGGTTTCCCCCCGCCCCAACCAATTTGTAGAAACAGCAACAAACGAAACAAAAAAAAGTATTTTTGAAGGCAATTGGGAGGATCTGTGCATCTTTCCTGCAGTCTGCACCAAGTACCACCGCAATCATTAAAAAAACCCTGCTGATTCCCTGCTGATGCCAGCAAGTGCATAGCTATGTCTCCTGCCAAACACTGGCAGGAGACGTAATTGCTGCATGCTATGTTACAAAGGCAATGGGGAGCAGGAAGCACATCAAATTGCTACATTGCTGAAAGTCCAAATTTATGCCCATCCTTATTGCTTCGAGGATAAATTTACTCGCTTCGAGAGAGAAAAAAGAAAAAGCAGAGAACTTTGCCTTTTTTTAATTTATGCGTGTCTGTGTTCTAAACAGATCTAGATTCCTAGGGCTGATTTACATTAGCTCTTGGCCTCAGTGTCAATAGCTTCAGAAAGCACAGGGCTGGCTGGCTGGTTGGCTGGCTGGCTGGCGTACAAGAAAAATGGGTACTGCTTCTGCAGAGGTAGATGCGAACAGGCAACTCCATAGAGGAACTGTCAACTGAATTGCTGTGATGTCTACTGGGGCTTTTCAAACATGTCCCCTGCGATCGCAGAAGTCAGGGTTGCTACGCAAAAATCTCTGTCCAGAGGGAGGATTCATATCTGCAGCCCTGTAAGGTACGAGGAGGTGTTGAAATGAATGGAGCTATCCTGGCTTCCGGTCCTGTCACCGAGCCATCCAATTCTGAGAATTATCCAGCCATCCATGCATTTACCCTAAAGAATCACGGATGAGCTGCTAGCATCCTGACTATTCAGGGCACACTTGAGGACAATTAGAAAATGACAACACCTCTGGGACACTGATTTCACTTTCTAAACATTATTCATTACTGTCCTTTAGTAGAGATTTCCCCCCTCTGGGTGACTGGGCGGAGTTTAACATGCCAGACATTTTCTCTACTCTTCTTTCTTTTCAGTGTTGTGTTTTGGGTGTGGACTTTTGTCAAAGCTAAGGAAGAAAAAAACCCACTTTGACAATGCAGTAGTTTTGTACTCTCAGTATGTCATAGTATCGCTGAAATTTGGGACTGCCCTTGACATGGCTATGCTTACAGCTTGACCTCTTCTTACCTTTACACATTATAAATTAGTGCAGGTATGGTATTTGCGCTACCAGAGTGGATTATTTCTTCCCCAACTCATACAAATGCCCACACCTCAAGTTACAAAACTTAGTTAAAAATGTCCTTGACATGGATATGCGTACAATTTGTTCCCTTTATTCCTGAAGAAATGTTGATGGTTTCTATACACAGAGCTACCTTTCTTCTGACTGTAGAGCAGGATGCTAGAAATGACACTAGTTATGTCTCCATTTAACTAACGTGACTCCAGGGTCACGTTAGTAGAGGTTTACTACATTTTAGAAATGTACTAAACATGTAGTAAACATTTTTATTGCATCCTTTTTTACAGGTAGCCCTTGGATTACAATCATAACGGGGCCTGTCCATCATGGTTGTAAGTGGTGATGGTCATAAAACAAGTCATCAGATAACTGGACATTTTTAATGACCCCTTTTTTTTGTTGGTGGTAGTCCCAAAGGTGCTTTTTTTCAAGAGGCAACTGGACTTCCTTGTTTTTCTTTGAAGACATTTCACTTCTTATCCAAGAAGCTTCTTCAGCTCTGACTGGATGTGGGGAATGGAAGGATTTATATTCCTTGCAGATAGCTGGTCATTTGTTTTCTTGAGAGTTGTTGAGGCCACTTGGGGTTTATCTGTGTCCTCAGGATCACCTGAGTAGTGCAAATGGGTGTGGAACCTTTTTGGAACTGCTGAAAGGACTGTGTTTTAGACTGGAGATAGATGATGTCATATCCCCTCCCCCTCTGTTGAAAGAGGGCTGTATAATTTTGATATAGGCTCCACAACCATTTGCACTACTCAGGTGACCCTGAGCATACAAATAAATCTTCACGGCCTCAACTATTCTCTAAAAGAATGCAAATGTCCAGCTGTCTGCAAGGAATATAAATCCTTCCATTTCCCACCATCCAGTCTGAAGAGCTGAAGAAGCTTCTTGGATGAGAAGTGAAATGTCTTCAAAGAAAAACCAGAAAGTCCCGCTGCCTCTTGAAAAAAAAACCTTTGGGAGAACCATGACCTGGATGACTGAGAATCTCCATAGACGTTTGCTGGTGGTAATTAAGCAAATGCCATGATTGGTAAGTGAACACACAACAAACCAACAGTCGTTAAACAAATCAATGGTTCACTTGTGCTGGTTTTCCCCAAACCAGAAATAAATGCCGTTTTTCAGCAAAAACATAATAAAATATGACTGTAGGGCAGTGCAAACAAACATAAATGTGGGTCAGTTGCCAAGTACCTGAAATGGGTATACATTCACATATACAAACAAAAAGTACTCTACAAATTCTAATTAGTATAAACCACTGTAAAATCACTCATATCAAATTCTTGTCAATCCAGAAGTACGCTCTCAAAATCAGCTAAATTTCAGGAGGATACCTTGTATTTCTTTGCAAATCAATACAAACCAAAACTCAAATTACTCTAGAATTTTAGTCACTAAGTTTATTTTACGAGATAAAGGTGTAAAGGTGCCATAAAGGCGGTTGAAATGGGAAAAAAACTCCAAATAAATAATGTTCTCTAAACTTAGAACAATCTTCTAACATATGGAAATCTTCACCATATGTTAGTATGATGTCCACAAACTGGAGTTTGAAAATAAATGCATGCGGGATATAGTTTTATAAATTCACACCACCTTCCCTGATGTTAGAGCCCAATTCTATAACTTCCTTAAGGCTTTCAGGGCACAGGCTTCTGGACTAGAAAGTAATCTAACAGGTGTAAGTAATCTAACAAGGCCAGGTCAAAAAAATCAAGATGGTGCTTGCAATGGTTTGGCTAAAATGCTGCCATTTTGTTTTTACTTCTATCGTGACTCTTTTAACATAACCTGCAGATATCCTTTGAAAGCTAAATGTAATGCAGACAAATAAATAATATTATATTATGTTAATGTCTCAAGACGAGTAATGCAGCTTTCACATATTACTACAGACACTCAAATGCTAGAGGTAGATTATTCTCACAGGCGTTGTTGATATTAACCATTATGGACATATCCGGTGATTTTTTTTTCAGAAATAAAAATAGTCTAGTGACCTGGATATTCAGGTTTCTTGACATATTTACGATTCACAGCAACAGTGTCATTATTTTAGTCTTTTCATGTGATTTGCCTGCATGAGGGCTATTTCCTCATAATTGACTATTTTTGCTGATGTGCATCCATATCCAGTGCCAATCCACCAACATTTAATCAGATGGAGGCATTTTTACAAGTTAGGATGTCTGATCCTGTTGGGGTCACCACTAATCATGTGCAGTGTCTCCATCTAGACATTGATGAAGGCAGAACACCTAGCACTTTCTTTCCTTGACACATATTATCAGTATAAGTTGCACATAGCTGTGGACACTTGTTTAAAATGTGATTGCTGATGAGAATGGCAAGTCAGAGCGCATTTATTGTTATGGCCTTTTGAGAGGGACAAGGCATTGCTCAGTTGAATGGGGTATATTACTTCAGTGACTCTTGTACTCCTTGTATAATGCCATATTTTTGTGGTGTCAGGGAATGCCTGTGAAATTAAAAATAAAGTTCATACTTAACAAGTTGCAGCTATTTCTCTCAAAAGTCACTTGAGGAAAAATTGGTCACAAAATTCTGTTTAATTTTTTTCTCTCCAAAAAGTGATTCCTGCCAAAACAGTTCAAAATCAAGAAAACACAAAGAAAAGACTAAGAGGAGATGCTAAAAGTAATAGATAAGATTTTAAGACATTTCAGAAAAGTGGTATTTATATACAGAAGTCATGACGGAAGTCTAAGAGATTTGAGGGAGCATTAAAGATTTTTTTTTATCTCAACTGTTTCCTTGCTTTATTACACTACCACATTACAAACAAAAAAATTACAACAAACATGACTTCTCTCTGTTGTTAGTTACACATTAACAAGAAAACCATTCCACCCAAATGGGGCCAAAACAGAAGATGTGAAAAACAAAAATGAGAATTAGTTTATATATCAAACAGTGGTTTGAACAAAGAGCCAGATTGTTAATACTTTGGGCCACCAAAATGTAAGCGACTTTGTATGTTATGTATGAAGGTGTGTATGTATATGTGTGTGTGTGTGTGTGTGGACAAATAGCTTCTTTGTTAGATTATACCTCACAACTAAGAAAATTGCATTGTTACTTCTGTTTAAATTTACTTAGGGGGGAAGAACAATACTAGTTACACGAAGTAAGACAGCACAAATTAACTCCTTAAGGATTACTGCAACTCCAATGTTTCTCTATACGGAGCACATATCTTAAGGAGCTTTGAAAAGAAAACAAAGAAATATATATATATATATATATTTAAAAAAAACTCAACAATCCTAGTAAGTTATAATGCATATACAGATGTTCACCTGCATCCTTTTGATTCTCTATATGAAAGAGAGAGAAAGCAACAAGGAGAAAAGAGAGAAACAAGAACAGATATGCAGAATTAATGAGCAAGTGGATCAAAATGCCCCCAGTTATGTGTGATATATGACATTCATAAAGAAAAGAAGTTGCCCAATCTCTCCCACCCACCCAAAGCATGGAGACCATAATACCATGTGTCTTGCCAAGAAAGAATTTAATCATTGTGCAAAGAAAAACAAATGGGTGTTGAAGTGGTTTCCCTCTGCAAACACATATTGCGAATTAGATCAGCAAATGAATATACATAAAATATGCTCTATTCAAAGGTTGTTATTGAAAGAAACTAAAATAGCACTCTATTTGAGAAATAACACACAAGAGACATGAAAGAGCTAATGTCCAAAAAGGACGTTTTTCCAGTGGTTTTATGCAGAGGTTGTTACAAACTTCAGAAACGAAAAACATTCGGGAAATATTTCATAGCTGAACTGTAACTCCGTGCTCCCTGGTGCAGTAAACTCCCTTTTGATTGTGTACCAGTGACAAGTGTTTACAAATTGGGGTTACACATAAGCAAAGTAAAAATGCATTCAGGTCACAGACAGAAAGAGCGGAAAAAACTTACAGACAAATTGGAGTTTGTCAACAAACAAACAAACAAACAAAAAAAAACCGGCTGAATTTTTCTAACCTGGTTTTTTAGGCTGATAAAAAGTGACTCAACCTCTCACAACTGGGACTTTCACAGACAGAAGCAACAGACAAGCCAATGCTAAAAGACTCGAAGCGAGGAAAATGAGTTGGTCTGGCTCTGGATTGGACGGAGGAAATGAAAACAGAAAAGAGCGAAGGCAGCATGGAGAGGTGGAAGGAAGGTACTCACGAATGGTTAAATCCATCACTTGAGAGGCCAAGCAGAAGACAGGATGCTCATACATTTCTCTCTTTTTCCCTATAAAAGAGGATTTGGGCATGCAAGAGGCTTAGGTCAGAGGTAAAGAGGTTATAGGTCATAGGTCAGAGGAAAACTTTACATTAGCTTTAAAGGAAAGTAGCTGTAGAGTATTTGGGGATACATACAGGAAATAAAATAAAAATTAAAAAAGGAGATTTAAAATTGGGTGTTTACTGGATTAACCATTCAGCATGCTCATGAGTCACAAAAGAGATTGTGCCCATGATTCTAAAGGTTTGTTCTGAATTCTTGGTAGGAATATAATGATCAGAACATCACAAACAGGAGGAAATAGAATTCTGTTATTTAAGGCTCCGAGATACTAAGGAGTTTAGCCTTTAGTATCTAAGGATTTCACAGGTATTTCTTCATAAACATAGCCTCAAACAGCATTGCTGATCATCGTTACTTATCTTAATTTTAACGTACTCTAGATATTGAGACAGAATAAAGCATTTCATTTCCAAATGGGTAGATTCCTTTCAGGAAACAGGTTGCACAATATGCACACAAATATATGTATATATATATATATATGTAAAGTTAAAAACAATTTTTTAAAAAAGCAACTCCTAGTGAGTGGACTATGCTCATGAGAGAAAACCTGAGGCATGCAACTTGCTGATGTTGGGTTGTTTGAATTAACAATCCCAGCATGCTTTGAAACTGACGCAACCACTTTTTCTAGAGGCAACATAGAAAAGTGGCTGAACCAACCACAAACAAGGAAAAGGAGAAGCAGAAGAGAGCAGGTAGTGTGGGATGAAAGTACTTCTCTGAAAACAACAGCTGGATTTAAAAAAAAAAAAGGAGAGAGAAAGAGAGAAGAGAGGAAAAAAAAACTAAAAAAAAGTTTGTTGCTTCAAAGTTTCCCAGACCTAAAAGTCACAGTGCCAAAAAAAGAGGGCAGAGAATTAACACAATCAAGAAGAATTGAGGCACAAAAGGAAAGTACACGCTAACTGTTCTACGTTTTTGGGAAATGAATGCATTTTTACTTACAGATCATAAAGTTTGTTTTTGCATAGATATATCTGAAAGAAGAGAGCACAGCTTACCGACAAAGTTGGTGAGGGTTATACAGAGACCTAGGGAGCCCAGGGTCTATTCAAAAGGAAAATAACAAGCCCAAAGGTGCTTTTGAACTTGAGTTCTCCCATGTCTTCACAAAGCAGATTTAAACATTGAAATTTGTAACAGAGTTCACCAATTAAAACCCGTGAAGTAGAAGGCTTGGATAAATTGCTTGATAGCTCAGCACTCAAGAGACTTGCTTTTCTTCTCTATTTTCACTGCTCATTACCGAGTCAAGAGTTGATAAACATCCTTTTAGTGCCCAATTCTTAAGTGTTTCTCACTGGATGCATAACAATGAATTCATTACCACTGGTACACAATTTGCATTGTCAATGGGGGGAAAAACATTGAAAGAGAGAGGAAGTATATCAGTGTACAGACCCTGGAAATATGTGACTTATCACAACAGACCTTCTGACAAGCAAGGACGAGAAGAAAGAAATTGAATAGTGATATTCATTCTATCAGTGTTATTCCTCGAAGTGAACACAGTTAAAGCTTCATGGCTCATACAGGGCGAGAAACCACCATCCATATTGCACGATTCCACGTTTCACATTTCACAGCAAATATTTAACCGGAGTTTTACATTATTATTCAGCAACAACCGAGTAACAATGAAAATTGATGAATGCATTAAAGATCTATTCACATGTATAATTAGATTCCTGCCAAAAGCATATCTTCAAGCAAGTTTGAAAATGTCTTTTTGATGGCTACATGTGTCTTTGGTCACTAATTGTTATTCTTTCCTAATGTAAAAGGTCAGCAATATCATCTGCGGCAAATTTAGAGTGACAAGAATGAGTTCTGAAGCTAGCACAAGGCCAACTGACTTGACAGGAGCTGCTATACAAAAAGGGAAGGTGGCAAACGTTATCCAGGGAAAAATAGACATTTTTAATTAGCTTCTAAAGAAATGAGTGCCATGCAAACATTTTGGAGTTTCTGCTCATTCAATTGTCCAATGAACCCACTGTCACAAGCAGTGTTATGCAGATTTCACTCTCTCACTCTTTTGGGGGGGGGGGTGGAGTGTGTGTGAGGGAAATATATGCTGAATGTTGATTACTGCCCTATGCAAGTTTATTCTATTCTCCATTTCAGTTTATATTTTAAAAATCTATTTACGTCTGCTTATCTGGTAATATGCAGATGATCTTTATTTTTAACGCAGCTTTAAAAATCTTCTCTGAAAGAAAACACTAACATTGAAGTTAAGAATTTAATTTACCTTACCTTCGATTTTTGCATATTCTGATAGCCGGGTATAGTTAGTCAATGCAGCTTGTTCTAAGCATTTACGGATGACAGCTTTTACCTCTTCTTGAGGGACAGGAGTAACTATGTCTTTCATCAACACCTTGATACAAGGAAGCATTGATTTATTATGTCTTCTTAATTATTATTATTTGTAAAATAATCTACCCTCCCAATGCCCTTTGTCTCCCTCTTCTGGCCAGAAAAGAAGACAGCAGTAGCCTTATCCTCTGGTCTTTGAAACTTTTGGACTTGGTCTCTTGAGGCCCACAGTCTGGTTTTGTAATTTATATTTCGAAATACTGCATGAAATGATGAAGGATGTGCAACAAATCTACATAAGATGCATGTTTTATAAAATGTCTATGTGGCACCTCAAAGTCACGATTTCCTTTCTCCTTTACAAAGATAGATTTTTGACCATATTTGGAAATTAATTACGTTCTTATACTGCAACATAATAGAGCAATCTGATTTTACCAGTTGATGAAACTCCAGCCACAATAAATAATACAGTTCTTAAGATGCTACAGGACTGCATGGTTTTTAAACCTAATGTCTCTGGTATTTACAGTTTCAAAGAATTTTATGACTGTGAAATCAGCCCCCGCATATGGCATCAACGTACGCACCAATAAAAAAAAGTCACAGCTCCATTAGATAAAATACCAGATATTATGTGATAGGAGTACAGATTGGTTTTGTATGATTTATAGAGCGTTTTAATGATATGCAACCATAATTTAGAACATCAAGCTTGCAAATGTAATTTCCATACGCTGATGATTTGAATGAAATCCATGGCTGTGCAAGCCAAAGACTTTTTGTGCAACCACCAGTTTCCTCAAATCAGTTTCAGAGAATCTCCTCAACCTGTAAAATGGATTTCTGTAGGGGCCTGCAGATGGAAAGAATTGTTTCTTCCTTGGTGTATTGCTGAGCAAAGAGCCTTCACTCTCCACAGTGAAATAATGGTTTTTGCATTTAGGAGAAAAGTAGCTCGGTGTTCTATGCACTACCATAATCCAAACACGGCTCAATATCTATATATGAAGCTTCCCTGAATGGATAGATCAATTACTTCAGATACAGAGGAGCTACTGGGTGGACCATAACTCCTGGAAGGACAACTTGATTAAGTCCAACCATATAAACTAGTGTGTACAATGCTTAGGATGAAAGTAGGATTGATAAAATTATGCACAGTAGGAGAAAAAATATTTCTCCCAATCATCATTTCTAAGAGGATGGAAAGGCAAATTAACTCTCTCTCTTCAAACCAATACAATCCAAACCAATTTAAATTCAACTAGAGGAAGATGGCCAAATATGGAAACTGGGTCACTGCCTTAGTCTTTCAACAACCTTAACAAAATAATGAAGTTGACCTTGGAGGTCTTCTAGTCTAATCTCCTGCTCAAGTAGGAGACTCTAGACCATTCCAGACAAAGGGTTGTCCAATCTCTTCTTAAAAACTTCCAGTGTTGGAGCATCCACCACTGCTGGAGGCAAGTCATTCCACTGATTAATTGTTCTAACTGCCAGGAAATTCCTCCTTAGTTCTAGGTTGCTTCTCTCCTTGATTCGTTTCCACCCATTGCTTCTTGTCCTGCTTTCAGGTGCTTTAGAAAATAGGTTGACTCCCTCTTCTTTGTGGCAGCCCCTGAGATATTAATCTTATGCTTACCCGTTCCAGGAGTGATAAGGTGGCTTTTAAAGCTCCTTCTGGTCGGCCAAATGGGAAGCAATACCTAGAAATAATACATAGTTTTTATTATTTTTACCGTGTATTACTTTAGATAGTTACATCAATTTGACAAAAAGAGTAATTTTCCCTATCTACTTTCACCTGAATTCCTGTATCAACAAACACTGGCTTAAACAAAACTACAAGAATTGAGTTGTGCCTTTTAAGAAAATCTGGAATTTTTAATGAATGAAGAAGATGCACAAGGCTCAGATAGATTGGAATCTTGGTTAAACACAGGAAATGAGTTATGACTAGATCCAGCATTACTTCACATATAATTCATACCATTACAATTTTATGTGTTGAGACTCTGGAGCGCTACTATCATTCCAATAAATATGAACAATGTTGATTAATTCCCAAATTAGCTGGGGGATGGGTATATGTTTTGTGCTCACAAACATTTTATTGATATGATACTTGGACTTCTATCAGGAAAGCAACTGAGACAACTGAGGATTTCAAATTGGAAGGGATGTTTACAGGTAGAGTAGACCAACCATGGCAGATCTCTTTCAATTAATAGTTCAATGATTGCTTTTGGAGACTGGATTTTGTGTCATGGCTCACTGCTACACCGAACATGAGTTAGGAGGAAGGATACCTATTAATCTTGTAACTGCATGACTGTTTCAGAGAAAATGGGCTTCTCCATGGTTGAATCAAAGAGAGGAAAGGGCATGAGGAAAAAGAGTAGACCATTGCTAGTAATAAGGAGATAAGCAAAAGGAAGCAAAAATAAAAAATAAAAATCAGACAGCAACATGGCCATATTATGTCCCAGTCATTGTCCTTAGATAAAGAAAACAGCTGTTCTGGTTTTAAACACAAAATGTGAGCCAAAACTTGCCCATCACTACATCATCACTTTTAATTAATAAATGTAGGTAATCCTCAACTTACATATGGGACCAGAATATCTGTTGCTAAGCAAAGTGGTTGCTAAATGAGTTGTGCCTGATTTTACCACCTTTTTGCCTCAGTTGTTAAGTGAATCACTGCAGTTTGTTAAGTGAGTTATGTGGTCATTAAGTGAATCCAGCTTCCCCCTTGACTTTGTTTGTCAGGAGCCAGCGAATAAGGTGATCAAATGGCCCCAGGATGCTGCAACCATTGTAAATACATGCTGGTTGGTTGCCAACTGCCCAAGTTTTGGACATGTGACTGTGGTGATGCTATGATGATCGCAAGTGTGACAACCAGACATAAGTTACTTTCTTCAGTGTCATTGTAAGTTTGAACAGTCATTATATGAATGGTTGCAGGTGAAGGACTACCTGTATTTGTATAAGGGTATGATCACAAAAGTCAAAATGATGGCTCTGATGGGGCAATTGAAGTTCTGGTAAAACATTTGGGGTATTTCCTCTGAGGGGACAGCTTTCATCTACTGATCCAAAAAGCAAGATTTCTCCTTCCTTTTATATTCCCTCTTCTCAAGATACATTCAAAAAGATCACAGAATCCTCTCAAGAAGAGTTTTAGGTTAGGAGACTTTAAAGAGGAGGAGGCAGTCTTAAGGACTGTCTTCTTTAGAAAGTCTTCCATTCCAAAATGGAATGTTACTCACATAACAATAGATTTCAACCACTGATAAATTTAAGTGGAATTGGATCACCCTAGAGCAGGGGTGTCAAACTCAAGGCCCAGGGGGGGCGGGATCTGGCCCATGGGACCACCCTGGAAACAGCAAAGAACCTGGCCTGCAGTGCCTCTGCCAGAGAAAATGGCCTCCAAACACCCTCCCGAGCTCCATTTTCACTGGCAGAGGGTTGCAGGAAGCCGTTGCGGCCAAAAACAGAGCTCAGGAGCCTGTTTTCGCTGGCAGAGCACTTGGGCCACCACAGGGACCCCCAACATGAGTGATGTTGGGCTGGCCATGCCCACCCTGGCCACACCCACCCTGCCCCTCCCCCCTCAGGTCAAACACAACCCTAATGCGGCCATCAATGAAATCGAGTTTGACATTTCTGCCCTAGATTAATGGTAAATTTAAAGCTTAAAATTGCAAGTTCTTCTCCTAAGCATTCTGTCTACAACTTTTAATGAATTGCTACTACTTAAGCAAGTCATGATAACTCCAACAGTGGAAACTTGAGGACATGATTCCAGATTTGGAAATACAAATAGCCATTATTACCTAAAATGCGTGATTTGATTTTCCAACAACAATCGCAGCCGCTCTTTGATGTCTTCAAACCGCTCTTTTTCTTCTACTGTTACTGTTCCTATTCCATCAGGCCTGAAGAAAAAACACTATGAATAACTTGAAAGCTGTCTCGTGGCTTTTATGAATCACCGCCACTGTAATCCAAAGCGTGCATTTCTTTACACTTTTAATTAAAAAAATGGGTGTGAATAAATAGTATCATTTCAATTACAAACATTTGAAATTACTGATGGAGTCCTCCAGACTTTGTTGAATGTATACACCTCTGAACAGAGAACCTACTCCCTTATTTTGATTTGCCCTATTTGCACTATGTAGGCCTGCAGATCAAAACACGAATTGCATGGATTACAACACCCAATTTTAGATTGAAGTTAATGAGCTAAGAGGTTTTGTTGCACCTCTGCCTTTCTATGGAAACCATATGCCTTCCTTTTCATATATCATGTTTTATAAACCAGTTTGGACACACACACACACACACACACACACA